GCCTCCTGGTGTGTCACCCGCTTCTTCCCAGCCGTGTGTCACCACCAAACGAGCTGTGGGTGCCCCGTCCCCTCACCCAGGTCGCTGAAGGAAGGGGGGAGCTGCTTCCCTCCTCCCCTGCTCGGGCAGCATCCCTGGCTGAGGGCTCCGTGCCAGCGGCATCCCCTGGCTCTGCCTCCAACCGGGGAAACACCCTCCCCCCCCAGGCCAAAATGGGGGTGGGTTGGGGGCGTCCCGCTCTTGGAACAGGCAGTTTCCTAGATCATGTTTTCTAAAACAAAACAGCTCCGCTGCCACCACAACCTCCCCCAAAGATGAACGGCAGTGGCCGGGCCGGGCAGAGGGGCCACAGCCCCCTTTCTGGGGGGCACCAGGGCGTACAGGGGGGTGACCTGTCCTCCCCCCTCTCTGGGCGACCTGGGCTGGGGTCCCACCACCCCCAGAGGAAAAACACTGGATTCCTCAGCCCCAGTCCCAATCTCAGCACGTTTGAGCACTTTGGGGCTTCCAGCCGCCGAACCACGTCGCTAATTACTAACGTCCCACTACTAATTAGTAGTGACGGCTGAACCTGGCAAAGAATTGCTCTTTCTCCCCATTCTCGGCACCGTTTCTCGGATGCTCCCCTTAGCCCGTGCCCCGAGCCGCTGCCCCGGGGTGGGTCCGGGGGTGGGTGGGGGTCTCTTCAAAGCATCGATGTCTGAACCCTCCACTCCTCCTGAGTCGCTCGCGTTGATTGGCCGGCTTCTGGTGGGGTTTTATAAACAGCGAGTCCCTCAGCACAGAGAGTGGAAGGAGTGAGCTTCTGGATGGGTGCAGGTAGGGAGCATTCCCAAATCCCTCCCTGCCTCCCTCCCTCCCTTCCTTCCTTCCGGGCCGGGTGGTGGCATTTCCCTGCCGGGATCCAAGCTGGGCTAGAACGAGGCAAGATCCTGCTGCTTGTGAACAAAGTGATTTCACTTCTGAGGGTGCCATGGGGGAGAGGAACAGGTTCTGCTGCAGCAATGGGAATGTGGGGATGCCACTGAGTCCCCAGGAGGGAGGAGCTCCCCCCCATCCAAAGGTGCCTGGGGCCACAGGCAGAAGGACACGGGTCCTGGTGGTGTCTGTGCTGGTGGCTCTGGTCCTGGCTCTGGCCGTGGCTGTTGCTGTGCTCTCAGGTAAGGGAGGAGCGGCTGCCTCCTTCCCTGCCCCACGGAGCTGTGTCCCCTGGTCCCTGCGCAGCCCAATCCTCTGCCCTTCTCCCCTTCCCTCTCCAGCAAGAACATGTGGAGGATGATGGTGCCTCTGTACTGGGCCCTGGTGAGGCCTCACCTCGAGTGTTCATGTTCAGCCCACAGGCCACCAACACCTCCAGCTCTTTCGCCTTTATTCATCCCCTCAGGCGACTTTATTGCAGGGGTTAATGCCTGCTTTTGGCTACAGCCCTTGTAAATGTATATCTGCCGCACCGGGAGTGCAGCGGGTGCCTCT